GTGAAATGAACCGCCAACTTATTCAGCATATGATTTATGCAGCAGATGCCATTCCAACTGCAACCCAGTACTGGGAAACACCCATACACTTTCACATGCACACACATACACTACGCCCAATTCAGTTTATTTAATTCACCAACAATTTAGCACGTTTTTTTGGACTGTGAGAGAAACCGGATCTCCCAGAGGAAATCCAGGACTTAAACCAGCGACCTTCTTGCTGCGAGGCAACAGTGCTAACCACTGAGCCACCTTGTCGCCCCTTAAATCTATTTAAGTGCCAAATGTGTTTTAAAAGTTTAATCTGGTGCCATAAAATCAATCTGCTGCAGCTGACACTATTGCTGTGTCATCAATCTAAGGTAAACACCCAAGGGGTTGGAATCCAATGAAAAAATTGTATTTACATGTTGTTGTTTTTTTATGTAAATATTTTCATCATCTGTGGGTTTTGGATGAAATATGGCAATTCTAAGAGGAAAATCACCCAGGGGGTCCTGACGCCCACTTTGGAAGAAACTGGCCTACAACACCAATATTCTTTCATTTTAAGGAGGGTCTCACAAGTTGATTTTTAACTAAAAATCAGTATTTTGGTCTTTGGGTCAAAAGCAGCTTCATGAATAAGAAAGTTTGACCCCTTTAGGTTTACAAAAACAAGCGCAGCCATTTAGAGGTAACTTCTTGGTCCATCATGTCAGAATTCACCAACATTTGGAAATGGATGTGTGACTGTGCATTACCATAAAAAAGGAACATCATTGATTGTGGATTTTATATTTTACCAGTAAAGTTGTAATCTTAGTCTATTTAATGATATTGCTGTGTAAAATTTTAAATAAAAAAAAAATTGAAACATTTTTTAAAAGTTTTGTCATAACATAAAGCTGCATTTGCTGAAATATTACATTTTATAAAACAAAATACACATTTTTTTTCCGAAAGCATCCTTTGCTAACTATTTTTGGGACATGAAAACAGCTAGAAGGTAGCTGGTATGACTCCTGGCTGGGCCAGTTGGCATTTCTGTGTGGAGTTTGCATATTCTCTCTGTGTTAGTTTCCACCGGGTGCTCCAGTTTCCCCCACAGTCCAAAGACATGCGCTATAAGTGGACTGAATAAACTAAATTGGCCGTAGTGTATGAGTGTGTGTGAATGAGAGACTATGGGTGCTTTCTAGTACTGGGTTGCAGCTGGAAGGGCATCAGTTGTGTAAAACATATGCCAGAACGGTTGGCGGTTCATTCCGCTGTGGCAACCCCTAAAATAGAGACTTAGCCGAAGGAAAATGAATGAATGAATAATCTCGGTGTAACATTTGTACATGCACATTTGTAATTCTGGTTCAGTATTATCAACCTAAGCAACAGGGGTGGACCGCAGGACTGTAATTATGCTGTTTCTTTACAATGTGATCGCCATGTACAGGCCTGGCATGCAAATTACGCCATTATTCAGTGTAATAAGGATCAGTGTAAACAGGGAAGATTTTGACAGCATTGTCATCTATGAGTGGATGCTCTATATAAATAAATTCATATTAATTTAATCATTCATTTTCCTTCGGCTTAGGCCCTTATTTATTAGGGGTCACCACAGCTGAATGAACCGCTAACTATTCCAGCATACATTTTTACACAGTGGATGCCCTTCCAGCTTTAACCCAGTACTGGGAAACACCCATACACTCTAGCATTCACACACACTCATACACTACGTCCAATTTTGTTCATCTAATTCACCTATAGCATGGACTGTGGAGGAAACCGAAGTGACCTTCTTGCTGTGAGGTGACAGTGCTAACCACTGAGCCATCATGCCACCCTTATACCATAACTGTTGTGTCTGAAACAGAAACCCCAACAAATGCTTAATATTCAAAACAATCTGCCACGAAAAATATCTCCTTTCACGCCTTTGCATTGTTTCAACCGTGAGTAAATCTAGCATATGAAAGGATAAGCACAATAAGCATCGACTCAGCTTCTATTTTCCAAAACTGAGTCATAAATTCAATGCACATTTGATTAGACGAGGTGGTTTGGCTCGGCTTTCATTTGCTCGATTCCTGAGTCATGTCTGCAAAAGCAATTTCGCTTTTTTTTTTTTTTTTTTTTAAGCCCTCAGGCCGTGACACATGCATAATGCCCCAGAGGGACCCGAAGCCAAATCATCTTATGTGATTCCATCCACACGTCTTTACCGTGCCGCCTAGATTATTTCTCTCTCTCTTATATAACTTAAACACAAGACTTATGAAGCATCAGCTGGACGAGTGCAATCCCCTCAGCTGTGACCTTTTAAACTCCCTAAAACAGTCCGAATCGGAGCGCTCGGTTTTATAGAGTAAACCTAACATAAAGTTGGGTTATTTGCATGTTTGGTGATGATGCAATGGTTATATTCAAAAGGCGGATTACAGAAATATCACAAGGGGATTTAGGTTTTATAGTGTGTGTGTGTGTGTGTAGAGACGGTAATTGATGTGCATGTGATAAAAACTTAAAGGTCAGGACGCATATGCGAGAATATCTGCAACCCAAATCAGGATGCATGAATGATTCTGCTGGGCCTGTTAAATGACAGATAGGTTTGATGGCCAAAACTGATATATTTAGAGAGCAGGATGGATAAAACAGTCATTAAATTGAGATGCACACCACAAAAATTACTTTTGCAGCTTGTACTTATTTAATATGAGTTGAAACAACGCAATTCTTAAGTTTTTTTTTTTTTGGGACAACTTAATTGTTTTAACTTCAATCCACTTAAATTTGTACAAATGTAATAATTTAACTTAATCGATTTCATTGGGACAACATGAAGGATTTATGTGGAGTCCAGCATTTTTTTTACAGTGTGCATGAATAATAATAGCTAAACAATGCAATATTATTTTTTTCAGGACAACTTAATTGTTTTAAGTTTAACCTACTTGAATTTGTAAAAATCTATTAATTTAACTTAATTGATTTGCGTTGGGACAATATGAAGGATTTATGTGGGACCCAGCATTTTTTTACAGTGTAGCTGAACAACACAATTATTAATTTTTTTTGGGACAACTTAATTGTTTTAAGATCAATCCACTTATATTTGTAAAATGTTATTAATTTAACTTAATCGATTTGTGTTAGGACATGAAGGATTTAAGTGGGACCCAACATTTTTTTTACAGTGTGCACGAATAACAATAGCTGAACAACACAATTCTTACGTTTTTTTTTGGTATAACTTAATTGTTTTAAGTTCAATCCACTTCAATTTGTAAAAACGATTCATTTAACTTGATTTGTGTTGGGACAACATGAAGGATTGATATGGAACGCAGCATTTTTTTTTACATAGGTGCATGAATAGTGAAAGCTAAACAATACAATATTTAAGTTTTAAGAACAACTTAATTGTTTTATGTTTAATACACTTAAATTAGTTTAAGAACAATTCATTTAACTTAATCAGTTTGTGTTGGGACACTGTAAAAAAAAAAAATCGTAATTTACTGTTTATTTCCAGCAGTTAAACTTAAACTTAAATTAACAGCCGTTGAATTACAGAAATTTACCATAAAATATGGGATATTAAATTACAGAAATTTACCAGAAATGTAAGTTTCTGGTAAATTTCTGTAATTTAATATACTGTATGATATTTTATGGTATATTTCTGTAATTTAAAGGCTGTTAATTTTTATTTTTTTATTTTTTTTTCTGGCACCCCAGCTTATTAAAATTATTTTTACAGTGGACAACTTGAATGATTTATGTTAGACCTAGCATTTTTTTTACACTGTGCATGAATAATAACGACTTAATTGTTTTAAGTTTAATCTATTTACATTTGTACAAATCTATTAAATTAACTTAATCCATTTGTGTTAGGACAACATGATGGATGCTTTTTTTATGGTGTGCACAAAAAAACAATACATTTAAAAAAATATTTTTTTACTTCTTAAAACTACTTATCTAAATTGAGCTGAAACAACACGGTTCCTAAGAACCCAGCATTTTTCTTTTACAGTGTGCACGAATAATAATAGCCGAACAACACAATTCTTAAGTTTTTTTTTTTTTTTTTGTGGGGAACAACTTAATAGTTTCATGTTCAATCCACTTAAATTTGTAAAAGTGATTCATTTAAATTACTCGATTTGTGTTGGGACAACATGAAGGATTTGTTTGGAACCCAGCATTTTTTACAGTGTGCATGAATAATAATGAACCATTTAGCACACAAACACATTTGAATGCAGAAAACGTGCATCATACATTGATGAGGCAGTTGATGCCAATAATCGTAGTATTGCTAAATATAAACTTATATATCACCTATATATATATATATATATATATATATATATATATATATATATACTTTTATTGTTGCCAGAACTCCCAAAACCAAATATATAAAATGGAAATGATCCATTTCAGATTTCTGTTGTTGTTACAATAAACAGTTTAAACACATTTCTGCTGTAATGTAGGCTATATGCACACAAGGTATGATTTTCCCACTGTCTGTGAAAACACTTGAAAATACAAATACAAAAAGCCCAGAAACCCTATAGAGGACCTCCTAAGTCCCAGCACTATTTTAATACGTCTAAAGGCGTACAGTCGCGCTAAATTGAAAACATAATTGGGGTTTAGGCAATGACAGTGATGCTCCTGGACTGAGTGATGTGTTTTGGCAGTGGTGCATCTGGGAAGCCATCCAACGCACATTAATGCTGGCAACGCTAACTGTGCCTTTGTTTGAGTTTAGGATTGCAGACACAAACAAATACAGTAAGATTGAGCACCGAATCGAGTGTGGTTTCTCTGTTTTATCGGGTCAGTCAGGCGTGCTTATGAGGGAATTTGTTTCAGTTTGCTTAAATTTCATCCTCGCAATCAAGACAGTCAAAAGTGGCGGGTGAATGCAGCTATTGTCAAATGAGACTTACAAATTAAAGAGAAACCGAGCGTGACGTCAATCAGGTGAAGCTTACCTGCGCGCGACCGGACCGCAGGCACGCCGCGAGCGCCGCGAGCACCAGCAGCAGCAGGCGCGAGCTCATCATGCGCGCACATCCAAATGTCTCTCTCTCTCTGTCAAGCACACACACACACTCTCAGCTGCAGGAAAGTTTATTCCAGAGGGGTTGTTGAGTCACTTTGAACACCGTGCCAGCTGCTCCCGTTTGACATTTAACGCGTATCCAAAATCTCCAGTGTGGAAATCAACCCGGTCCGTTAAAAATCGCATATTAATGATACACTTGACAGGTGGGAGACGTATAAAAATATATATAATAAAATCAAAAAATCTCCAGCTTCAAATATCAGCTTTGAATATCCAGGAATAACATGTCCACGGAGTTGTTTTGTACAGAATGAGCCATTGGTGATGATTCCAGCGCTGCACGTAGCCTATGCAACTTTCCCTAGTTAGTGCGCAGCAGTGCGTGTTAAAGCGTGTTTCTCAGGTGCTTTAATGCCCCACTGCTGTACTTCGCTCTGGCTTCAGCCCTAAAAAACAAGCCCCGCCCCTCCAGCGCTCTGATAGGCTCGCTGCGCCGTCAAGGCTGGGCTGGTGTTTCTATATAAGGCAAATGATTAGGCGCGATTCTGCACGGATGAGGGGAGGCTCTTCATACATGACCTGACATTCTCCAAGTGTGACTTTTATTTGGAAAAAAAGGCAACAGTTTTCTCACAGACACCTGTTCTGTCTTGTTTCACTGGAGGTTTATGGCATATGGTTGTGAACTGAAAAGTCACACTGCATTGGATGAGCCATAATGATGACGAGACAGTGGTAACATTGGTCTATTGAATCCTGTCAGGCATATTCTTCCAGCGTCCTGAAAAAAACTTGTTGACTGGGAGATTTTAAATAACTATTAAAGGAATAGTTCACCCCCAAAAAACAATTCTGTCATCATTTACTTATCTTTTTACTTGTTTCGACCCTTACAGGTTTTTTTCTTCTGTTGTACACAAAAAAGGTTATTTTAAAGAAAGCTGGAAATCTGTAACCATTGACTTCCATAGTATTTGTTTTTCATACAATGGAAGTCAGTGGTTAAAAGTTTTCAGCTTTCTTCAATTTACAGTAAGTTCATTTGTGTTTAACATAAAAAAGACATTCCTAAAGGTTTGTAACGAATTGAAAATTTGTAAATTTTCATTTTAAAATTGACAATTTGAGATATTTTAATTATTAATAAGCACATTTGGGCGAAGCAGTGGCGCAGTAGGTAGTGCTGTCGCCTCACAGCAAGAAGGTTGCTGGGTTGCTGGATCGATCCTCGGCTCAGTTGGCGTTTCTGTGTGGAGTTTCCATGTTCTCCCTGCGTTCGCGTGGGTTTCCTCTGGGTGCTCCGGTTTCCCCAACAGTCCAAGTCCATGTGGTACAGTTGAATTAGGTAGGCTAAATTGTCTATAGTGTATGAGTGTGTGGTTCTCAGAGATGGGTTGTGGCTGGAAGTGCATCTGCTGTGTAAAAACTTGCTGGATAAGTTGGCGGTTCATTCCGCTGTGGTGACCCCGTATTAATAAAGTGACTAAGCCGACAAGAAAATGAATGAATAGTAGAATATGTTTATGCTTTTCTAGATCTCAAATTTATCTTGCGAGTGCCATTCGCACCTGCTGTTCTCACGTAAATCCACCAGAGGCCGCTATCAACTAAATGATTTGCTGAATGACCAGCCAACCCCCCCACCCAACCCCTTTCCTAAATAGAACCAATAGTGTTTTAAAAAGCACCGATTGACCCGCCCACCCCCTTTTCTAAACACAACCAACAGTGTTTTTAAAGGCAATCCAGATAAAGAAAAGCCCCCTAATTTTTTCCACGTTTTTAGATTTTACCACATTCTCACCCTGTTATTTACTATACTTACACATTGTCGTGGTTAACTCCTCTCTGCATCTCAAGTCCACCAACATACATGTCGAGCTACCGGACAAACTGGCAACAGCAGGAAAGTCGTCCATATGGAGGTAAGCGGTCAGCTGGTTAGCAATAAAATTAACAATGTCATACCGCCCTACATCAATCATTAGGGCAGCTCGATTATGAGAAAAAAATCATAATCACGATTATTTTGGTCATAATTGTAATCATGATTGTTCAAAACTATATACAGCTCAGTTGAAGTCAGAATTGTTCACCCTTCAGTGAATGTTTTTTTTTAAAATAAAAATTTACCAAAGGATGTTTAACCGAGCAAGGAATTTTTCACAGTATTTCCTAAAAAAAATTCTTCTGAAGAAAGTCTTATTTGTTTTATTTTTTCTATAATAAAAGCAGGTTTAAATATTAAATATAATTTTTTTAAATAATCATTACAAGCCAAAATCGAAATCGAAACAGAATTTTGAATTAATTTTTAAAGAAAAAAATGCAGTCATACGTAGCTCTAGCTACATAATTTGAGATCTCCAGAAATGTATATAGGGCTACATTTTCAGAATGAGCCTATGTTGTAATATAAATTGACATTTATATCTCTCAACTTAAAAATGGAAATGTGCACACAACATTGTCAAAACATATTTTGGGTAACTAAAATTTTACATGTATATGTTTTCCCACAATATTTAAGGTGTGTTATGTGCAATCCTAAAAAATCTGTTAAAAATGTATCATGCATAAACAAAAAGTGTAATAAATAAAATGTGTAATGTAAATAAAATTATCAGTTAGCAATGGTTGTGAAAACATGAAAATAATCTCAAAGAACCAAACCAGATATATCCATATCCACAAAATATACAACAACAACAACAACAACAACAACAACAACAACAACAACAACACTAGTTACTAATAATAAATACTGTAGTGTTTTTAAACCATTTATGGTAAAGTACAGTTGTGGCAATTTAATTACATGGTATGGCAACACAACTACTATAGTAGCTAATTTAAACAAATATCCCACTACTAAGTTACTACAACTACATAGATCTTACAACACACCACAGTTAACTATAGTAAAATCTAATGGATGCTACAGTTTTTAATACAGTTTATCAGTCCTCTACACTATGCTGTGCATTATTAAAAAAGTGTTGCAAACACTATAATATATTCAGTATAATACACATTGTTATAGTACGAAAAACTATGTAGTATTTACAATAAAGGGTGACATGTTCTTCCCATGTTCCTGCTGGTGCTCCAGTTTCCCCCATAGTCCAAAGACATACACTTCACATGAATTGAATAAACTAAATTGTAGTCGTGTATGTGTACAATCGTAGTGTATGTGTGTATGTGAGTGTATATGGGTGTTTCCCGGTACTGGGTTGCAGCTGGAAGGTCATCCACTGCGTAAAACATATGCTGAATAATTTGGCGGTTCATTCTGCTGTGGCTGGCCCTGATGAATAAAGGGACTAAACCAAAGGAAAATGAATGAATTTACAATAAATGACTATAGTCCTTATTTAATTGTTGAACGAAACATGACTTGTACATTTTCTTAATGGGAAAACATCAGTTTGATTATATTCACTTTAATGTATAAATGACACAAGACAGAAAAGAAGAAGTGAATTAAATCATTAGTTCTCATCTTCGTCTGGGATTTCCAAGCAAAAGCTGACATCATCAAGATGAAGTCACGATGGCTAAAAATAGACGCTTCAGTAAGTAGTTTGCTTTCTACAGAAGATCTCGGAGTGAGATGTAAAATCCTCCTCCTGTCTCTCATCTTGCTGTTTGTTTTCAGACTCTTCCGCTTTCATGGAATAATCGCACGTCCAGAATTCCTGGAGGTCGGAGGTCAGAGGGACACGGTGGTCCTGTTTGCTGCTGCAGCAGGAAGTGACACGGGCATTTGAGGGTCTCCAGGGGGCTATTAATAAACCTGCTGACCTTTTCTATCTGCATAGAGTAAGTGACTGACATGACACACGTTATTGTGAGCTGCAGGAGCCACTGATCATCTACTCTGACACACATAAAAAATACAGTTTAGAGTTATATAGTATCCACACAAGCAAACTTTACCCAAAAAAGTCAGTAAATCTTAACCTTCAAATGAGTTTTTAGAAAGTTTTGGGTGGTCAATAGGGCTGCACAATACACTTTCAGACAAAAGTCTTGTTGCCTATCCAAGTTTTAGGAATAACAAATAATAACTTGACTTCTAGTTGATCATTTGGTATCAGAAGTGGCTTAAATGAAAGGCAAAGGCCATGATCATGCCTTGATTTTTAATTATTTAATTAGGACAGTAAGGTCTGACTTTAATTAAACAAACATCTAGTCACTTAACAGAAATAATGTACAGTATAGAATATGAAGTCATGGTGCAGTAGAAAAAGAATTAATATTGTGTATGACTCCCATGAGCTTGAAGGACAGCATCCGTATATCTCTGCAATGACTCAAATAACTTATAAATAAAGTCATCTGGAATGGCAAAGAAAGTGTTCTTGCAGGACTCACAGACATCATCAAGATTCTTTGAATTCATCTGCAATGCCTCTTCCTTCATCTTACCCCAGACATGCTTAATAATATTCATGTCTAGTGACTGGGCTGGCCATTTCTGGAGCACCTTGATCTTCTTTGCTTTCAGGAACTTTGATGTGGAGGCTGAAGTATGAGAAGGAGTGCTATCCTGCTGAAGAATTTGCCCTGTTCTGTGGGTTGTAATGTAACTGGCAGCACAATGTCTTCATACCTCAGACTGTTGATGTTGTCATCCACTTTGCTGATCTCTCACACGCCCCCATACTGGATGTAACCCCAAACCTGATTTTTCCTTTGCCAAACCTGACTGATTTCTGTGAGAATATTCATGCGGGTTCCAATAAGTCTTCTGCAATATTTGTGATGATTGTAATGCAGTTCAACAGATAACTCGTCTGAAAAATCGACCTTCTGCCACTTTTTCAAGTGATCAACTAGAAGCCAAGTTCGTATTTGTTGCTCTTACAACTGGGATCTACGACAAGACTTTTGTCAGGCAGTGTATATCATTTCAGCATCGATTTTACAATATGCATGATCATTGAGTCTGAATTGAGTCTGAATTATCTGAACCAGGAGTTTTTTTCACTTAGAATTTGTGTCTAGTTTCTAGTCTAAATATCTACATTTGAAAGCGAAAACAATTATTTCAATTGTTTTAAAGGAAAAATCATTATTTTGATTAATTTCTTCTGAAGTTGAATACAAAACTATATCCTTTTTGGTTTAAGAATTTTTTTTTTCAAAACGAGACAAAGCAAAGTAAGAAAAGCATTTTTTTTTTGCATTGTGATTATTTATTTTTTAATACTGTTTGACTTCCCAGAAAATTGTCAAATAGAGTGATTCAATCTATTCATACCACAAGTTTTATCACAGAAAAATGAAATCAGATAATATCAGATTTTTCCAATATCATGCAGCACTAGGTTTCAGTCACCTGATACTGTTTTTATATGTACAAACAGCAAAAGCATGTAAAAAAAAGGGGATTTGAAAATATTCGTATTTGTGTGGACAAAGCCTTAGAGTGGACGGATTAAAGCAACGGTCAAACTAGAGTTTGAGCATGCAAAATTTTGTCGTACGGCGCTGTGAAAAGGGGCAGGGCTAAAACAAA